TCTGGGGAGTAAATTGCCTGCGCCATGCATGCATTTAGCTCTGCTCTTCTGGGGCAAGACATTCCCTGTCCAGTGCAGCCATGACTAGTTGGGTAAATTGATTTAATTTGGGTTTTCATCATTAGGAATCCTGTTCACCCATAGATAGAACTATATTCTTCATCATTAGGAATCCCGTTCACCCATAGATAGAACCATTGTCAGAAATAAAAATGATACTGGGCCTGCTCTGTTGACTTGTTTTTCAATTGACTGAGAACCAGAGTAGGAAAGAGTACTGCCAGTTACTGGGTAAGTACTCAGCATTTTGTTGAACTAAGGGGAACAGCAAGGGGACAGCCCCTCCTGCATCCTCCCTCATTTTGCCAAGTTCCCTATTTCCCTCACCCACCTCCCAGATACTGGCAGAGGCAGCCATAGGCGGGAGAACCAGGTCTCTGGATGGGATAGGCACGGGTCAAGTCCAGCATTTTGCCCACGGCATCATAGATGAAGATGAGGCTGATGAGAGCACAGAAGCCTTCCTCGGTGAAGCGGGTGAAGTAGCGCACCAGCACGCTGGCCTCTGTTGCCACCAGCACCAGGCAAAAGGTGGCCACCCAGATGCCCACCCACAGGCGGAAGGGCAGGTAGTCCAGGCTGTGATCTCTGGTGGGTGAGAGACAGGCAGGGCTTGGCAGGGCCCATTCTGCTCCCAGTCTAATCCAGGTCAGCTGCCCCTGGAGCCAAGCAGTTCCCGCTCTCCGCTACTGACTCAGCTGAGACCAGGCTGAGGGTGTGCTAGTGAGGTCGGGGAATTCTACCTGCTGAAGGAGAAGAGCAGGCGTTCAAAGACCAGCACTGGCCCAGTGCTGCTGAGGATGGTGAGGGGCTGGCCGGCCATCAGGCAGAAGGCAGCTCCAGCCACTGCTGTGCCCAGGAAGCTTTCCAGCAACCCCTAGAAATCAACAGTGGACCCTGTCAGCACAGGACCCCGGCGTCCTCAGCACAGGATCCTAAGCTTCTGGGGAGCCTCCTCAGCACCCCCATAGTACCAGAGAAGGGCAAAGGGCATGGCTGGTGGAACACCAGAGCTGTGCCTAACCCCTTCTTGCCCCCACCTGCCCACCTGAGCACCGTCGGTGGCTTCTCCCAGCAGACCCCCGAAAGTGATGGCATTAGTGACAGTGGCCAGGTAAATGTAGAGCACGGCTGAAAAGCACTGAGGGTGCAGGGCGTCCGAGAAGTCGCTGGGGTACCACGAGGCCTTCCGGCACACGTCCTGGACAAGGCCCCCGAACAGCCTCCCGCCCGCGGATGGTCAGTGATCCAGGTTTCCTCAACCCACACCCCTCTCCGCGCTGCTTTCCCTGTGCCCGGGTGAGCGCCCTCCACCCTGCCCCCGCCCCCAGGGAGCGCAGGCCTCTGTGCCCCTGTGACTCCTCCCACTCCCCCAGGACCTCTACCCTTCCTCCCACCCAGCTCGCCTCACCTGCCCGTCCGCTGCAACTCTGGGTTGGGTATGTGCGGCCCGCGGCCATGCCTGTCCTCAGCCAGGGCCCCTCGCTGGGCAGAGGGGCTCTTGGCCTCCCGCAGTTGCGAGGGGAGCCTGGGACAAGGGGAACCCAAGTTGGCTTAGGATCTCCAACCAGACCTGGACTCAGCGCAGGAGTTCATGGCGCCCTGCCCCCTGGTGGCGGCTCGTGTCTCTGCTGGCTGGGGACGCGACTCTGATCGCAGAGACGTGGACCTCTTCTTAAGGTCCAGATCATACTGTGACCTTCTAACAGAAGTGAAAGCCAGGTGCCGGCAGCAGAAGATTCTCGGTCAAGGTCTCACAGCGACAGAGTGGTCCAGCGGAACTCAAGTCTGCCCGACTCCAAATCCAAACATAGGTAGGTCTCTGTCCCTTGCCTGGGACCTCTGCCCTCCTCAGCTGTAGAACTGGACCCAAGGCCAGGGGGGAAGGATCTATATGAGATTAAGACCCCCAGATACCTTTTGTGCTCAGCGGGCAGACGTTTAGGCGGGGGAATCCGAGCTGTTGGGTCCCACCGACCTGGAGGGAGCACTGTCACCTCCTTTAGGAAGGCATCTAGAGCTGCCAGAAGGTCATGAGGGGTGCTGGCTCGACGAACTGACCACTGGAATTGCTGGGGACAGGGGCACAGACGGGGCAGTAAATACAGATCTGTACCCTTCTATGCGTTTTCACAGCTTCAAAACTAGACACAAGTCACATAGGCAGATGAGTCATTCAAGCATTCATCCATGTGCGCTTGCATTCAGTGAGTATCTGTGGGTGCCTACTGTGTGCCAGCACTGTGCTAGGTGGCGGTGCGTGTGCAGTGGTAGCCAAGGAAACTTCAGTGCTCAGGCTCACTAATGTGAAGCCACACTCTGCTTCATCGCTGTCCTCAGTCACACATGGAGTCCACACTCACTGACAGGAGCCTATGCATGGGTGCGTGCACACACACATACACGCCTGCCAACTCACAGGGTCGCTGAGGAGGACGGCCACTGCCCGGCCCATCTCACGGTAGCTCCTTCCCAATGTCGGGGGACCGAGGAGGAGGCAGAAAAACCTGAAGAAGGAATCAGGCCCAAGGGAGGGTCAGAGGCTGCTATCCCACAGGGCAGCCCTGGCCACTGATCTCCCTACCAGCCTTCATATATACACTCACATGCACACCTTTGCAGCCTTGACCACTGCCCTCACACTGAGCACCACTCCCAAATACCTCCAGAGGACTGCACCCAAACACCTCTTAATCCTCTCCCAGTAAAAGCCTTCACTGGGCTCCAGGATCCCCGACTCCCATCCAGCAGCCTCACCTGCTGGGGAGGGGCACCTCAGTAAGGGGCCCCAGCACCACTGGTTCCTGCAGTCGCACAAAGACCCCGAGTGGCTGCGCCAGGAAGCCCAGCTCTCCTGCCAACACAGCCCCAGCCTCAGCCTCTGGAGGGAGTTTCCGTTTCAGGGGGTTCTGATGCTGGGTGGGGGTTCAAAGAGATACAGAGGATGAGAGATTATTTGGGGAAAGGGAGTTGGCAGAATCTTGACTGATGAGTCCAGTGGAGGGAGGACCTCTGTTAATCCCTGGACCCTCTCAGCCCTGTCCAAGGAAGGGCCACAAACCTGTTCCTTCAGGGGGGCTTCCTCATCATGAGAAGCCTCTCTTGGTTGGGCAGATCCTACAAAACAGGATCATGCGGTAATTAAGAGCACAGGCATTGGGGGTGGATCCAACAGGTCTCCCTAATCAGCTTCGCTAAACTGTGAAAACTGGAGCACACCTTCCCTCTCTGATCCTCATCACTAAAATGAGGATAATTGTGGTATTACCTCACAGGGTGATTGTGAAGATTCAGTGACATAGTGTGTGCAGAGCTCTGGCACAGTGCTTCCCAAGACCATCCGTTCACAGGGCTCTGGTTGTTGTGATTCTAGCCCCTCCATTCTTCTCCCCTCACTACTACCCCCACTTCTCCCCCATGAGCCCTGGGTTGAGATCTAAGCTGAGGCTAGGCCTCTCCTGGTCCAGGAAGGTGCAGGGGAGACCTGGGACCCTTCCATTCCAGGGTTTTTGGTCTTGGGTGCAGGGAGGGGCCTCTCACCCTGGCAAGGACTGGTGCCGGTGGACTGGATGAGGTGCTGGGGTGTCTGCAGCAGCAAGGCCTTCAGCTGTCCCCTCAGCTCTGGGCTCAGCCACTCCACTCTGGTCACCTGCTCTGGAGAAGCCGGGTGGGGCTCGAGCCCTTTCCAGAGGACTCCCTGCCCCTGAACTTATCCCCTTTCCCCGCTGTGCAGGTCCCTTTCCCTTCTTCGATCAGGGAATGCAGAGAACAGTGAACTTGCTCTTCCACTCTGCATTTCCATCTCTCCCCTGTGACAGGGATGAATAATCCCTAGGGTGGGGTGAAGCAGGCTCAGGAACATTGAAAGACTTGGGGGGAAATATTAGGGAAATGGCATGGCTGCCCAGGTCCCCACAGCAAAGTCTCCCAGCATACCCACGAGCTCCAGAAGGCTCTGAGCTGGACAGTCTAGCAGGACAAGGCCCTTGGCCAGTAGGCTGCGGAGCTTCTGAAGGCTGGGCAGCGCCAGGGTGGGCACATGGGGGGCGCTCCACCGGCCTGCACCCACTTCCAGCTTCTCTTCAAATAGCACCCACCTGTGGAGAAGGTGGGTAGACAGTGTTATTGGGAGCATCTCTCCCAGGTCCAGGAGTGGGGGCATAGGAGAGCCAGGGAAGGGGAGGCAATGGGGGAGTCGAGAGCCCAGTGGTGCAGAGTACACCCCACCCTGGATGTTGTCCCTTATCTTGGGTCTTGGGGAATTCAAAACCAGACTGCAGAGAAGACTGAGAACCACAGAGGGCAAGGGTCTGAAATGCAAAACACAGGGACTCCTGACTGGGGGTGAAAATACTGCCCCCCACCCAGAAAGAGCTGGGAGTCATGGAGGAGGTCCCAAGGGGGAAGGGGAAGGACCTCATAAAACTGGCCTAGGTCCCACTTACCTGCCTGTCTCCCTCCACTCCAGCGCCTGAGGCCAGCCCAGCAGCTCATTCAGCTGAATGAAGAGCAGAGGGTCCTTGGGTACCCTCAGGTCCCTGCTGCCTGTGTCTAAGGGGCCATCAGGGCTGGGGTCAGATCCAGGGACACTGTCCATCTCTCCAGTGGGCACATTTTCACAAGCACTGGAGACTTCAAACTCCTCCTGGCCTGGCAGCTGCATCTCAGTGAGGCTTGCACAGACTTTCCCCTAGGTTCTGGGGCCAGGGGCCCTCTGGCTGGCTGCATTTATAATGCACCCCACCGTGCAGCACAACACAAACAGAGCAAGGCCTGCTGACTCCAGAACCAACCTGTCACTTCCTCCCCTGCTTGTTTTCTCCTCTCCTGCTACCTTGAGAGTGTGAGGCTAGCCTGATCTTTCTCAGGATCAGGACCCCACTGTTTTGTGTAAATTAATAGGAGTACACTGCTGATTTGGGTCTCAGGACTGACCCCAGATTATACTGCCCCCTACTCTGTATCAAATACAAACACCAAATTCTGGGGACTGTTTTGGGTGTCACCAGCGCACCCTGAGGGCACCCATTTGGACAAACAGAGACCTAATAAATAACTGGATCTACATAAGTCAGGCAGGCTAAGGGAGACGGCAGACGGAGGCTCTGCCCATTGAAAGGACTAATGATGGAAAGTGGAGGCAGTTCATGGAGAACACAGTGCCTGCCCGAGTCTTAAATTCCTTTGTCCGCCAACACCTGGAAACTTCCCAATTTAGCTGTGTGCCTGGGATCAGCTCCTCTAACTCAGCCCCTGCAGTAAGGATGGAGGGGCCAACTAGGATGTGTGTGTGTGAAGGAGTTCCTGGAGCCAAATGAGCAAGGGAGAATGTAATCTATTAGCAAGTCCTTTAGGCTCTGCCTTCAAAATAGACCCAGCATCCAACCACATCTCCCCTTCTCCACCCTGCCCCAAACTGCCACGTTGTTCCAAGTCACCAGGATGTCTCACCTGAATTATTTCAATAGCTTTCTAATCTCTTGCAGTGATCTCCCTGCTTCCACTCTCCCATTCTCCACACAGCAGCCATAGGGGTCCTTTTAAAAGGCAATGAAGCTGTATTACTCTTCTGCTCAAAACCCACCTACTACATTCCCATTACTCCTAGAAGGATAATCGAACCCTGTCATGGCCTACAAGATCTATAGTCTAGCCCCAGCCCGCATCCCTGATGGAATCTCATACCCATTTTGTCTTTGCTCACTCCTTGGCAGTCAGACTGGACTTCCTTTCTTATGCAAAGCCTGTTCCTGCCAGAGGGTCTTTGTGGTAGCTCTTTTCTCTGCAAGGGAAGATTTTTTTCCCCAGATCCTCACAGGACTGGATCCCTGTTACCTAGGCCTCATCTCAGACATTACCTACTCAAGGAAACCTCCCTTTTCCATCCAATCCTAAGTTTTTACATCACATTTTTTCTGTTTTATTTTCTTTCTTTTTTTCACATATACAAGAAAAAAATATATATATATTTATTGAAGTATAGTGAGTTTACAATGTTCAATTTCTGGTATACAGCATAATGCTTCAGTCATACATGAACATACATATATTCGTTTTCATATTATTTTTCACCATAAGTTACTACAAGATATTGAATATAGTTCCCTGGGCTATATATACAATAGAAACTTGTTGTTTATCTACTTTATATATAGTAGTTAGTACTTGCAGATCTCAAACTCCCAATTTATCCCTTCCCACCCTCTTCCCCCTCTGGTAACCATAAGTTTGTTTTCTATATCTGTGAGTCTGTTTCTGTTTTATAAATAAGTTCATTTGTCTTTTTTTTAGATTCCACATATAAGTGATATCATATAGTATTTTTCTTTCTCTTTCTGGCTTACTTTACTTAGAAGGACAATCTCCAGATCCATCCATGTTGCTGCAAATGGCATTATTTTATTCTTTTTTATGGCTAAATAGTATTTCATTGTATAAATATACCACAGCTTCTTTATCCAGTCATCTGTCAATGGACATTTAGGTTGTTTCCATTCTTGGCTTTTGTAAACAGTGCCACTGTGATCATTGCAGAGAATGTATCTTTCCAAATTAAAGTTCCCTCTGGATATATGCCCAGGAGTGGGATCATATGGAAGTCTATTTTCAGTCTTTTGGGGAATCTCCATACTGTTTTCCACAGTGGCTGCACCAAACTACATTCCCACCAACAGTGTAAGAAATTCCCCTTTTCTCCATATCCTCTTCAGCATTTGTCGTTTGTGAACTTTTGAATGATGGCCATTCTGACTGGTGTGAGGTGATACCTCATTGTAGTTTTGGTTTGCATTTCTCTGATAATTGGTGATATTGAGCATTTTTTCATATGCCTACTGGCCGTTTGTATGTCTTCATTGTAGAATTGCTTGTTTAGGAATTCTGCCCATTTTTGGATTGGGTTTTTTTGGTTTTTT